GTCCCCGAGTAGAGGTAACATCCCCTGCTTCCTGACAGATGGGCACCATCACTTCAAAGACCCACTTCAAACCCACCTCAGGCAACTCTTACCTTCATGCTAAGAGTAACCATCATCCCAGATGGATCAGAAATGTCCCTGATGGACAGTTTGGTAGACTAAGAAAAACTTGCACATCTAACCTTGATTACCAGTCCCTTGGGGGCGACACTCATCAAGAAGTTTTTAGATAAGGGATATGAGGCCCACCTAATTGAGGATGCCTACAGAAAACATCTTGTGACCATCCCCCCAAAAAAGTACGGACCGATAAGAACATGTACAGAATACATTTCTGTACACAGTTCAATGACGGAGCGTTTCGGATCTCCAAAATCTTAAAAAACCTTTGGCGAATATTGAAAGAAGATCCGATATTAAAACATTCCCTTCCGAACTTTCCAAATATCATCTATAAAAAAAAAACGAAGGACCTTCGTAGCCTAATAGCTAGACATGTGCGATTCGTTCCGAATCGAAATTCGGACGAATTTTCGGACATTCGGATGTATCCGAATTCCGAATTACAGACATAACGAATGCAAACGAATCCGAATTTCCGTTTCCGAAATTCGGTAGCGTTAGTTCGAACGTTCGTTTCGTATTCTGTTCTTATTCGTTTCGTTCGTTGGAACAAAGTGACATTAGAGATGGAGAAAAATATTTTTGCCCCTTCAAATGTCACTTTGCTGCAAACGAACGAAACGAATACCAAACGAATAAGAACTGAAAACGAAACGAACGTTCGAACTACCGCTACCGAATTCCGTCCGAATCTGAATTGACTTTCACACCCGAATCCCGAAAAACTAAATAACACAAATCCGAATTTAAAACGAAACGAAACAAATTTTTTGGCAGTGCACATGTCTACTAATAGCCCCCAGCAGACTCAAATCCACCAAATCATCCAATGTAGGTAAAGGACTTTTTGGACAAATGGGGTGTTATAAATGCCACGTTCATAGCTGTGGTGCCTGTCCTTTTTAGTGGCACAGGAACAAAGATATTTCTTACCGTGGGTGCCAAACGTTTCCTATGAAACAATTCATCAATTGTGCGTCTAGTTATGACATATATGGCATCATTTGCCCTTGTGGCAAATTATATGTAGGGGCCGCACTATAAGAACCCTTAGAACGAGATTTGGAGAGCACAAAAGAAAAAAAAAATTAAAAAAGCAGATGACCATTCGGTCCCAAAACATTTTTCGGAGGCTCACAAATCTAATCCTGAAGGGCTGAAGGTGTTTGGGATCGAGATGATCCCCGATAATTCCGATGATGGACTCGGATATAAAAAAACTTTGCCAAAGAGAAGCCTTTTGGATTTATTCTCTTAATAGTCTTTACCCCACAGGGGTAACGAGGGCCTGGAATTTTTTTTCTATAAATTCTGTTTATTCGACAAGTTTTCCAATTTTTACATACATGGGGTAGACAAGTACGGGATCAACTTCCCATCATATAAACGGTGGACGCAGCCACTGTAGGTATACAATGGTCACAACACATAAAAATATTAAACAATAAGAAGTAAGAACATCAATAAAATAAAGATGTCCAAAAATAGGGGATATAAGACCGGCGCGCCTTATGGAGCACTCCACAGACTGTAGCTTCTGTGACAGCTTCTATGACAGAAGCTGCAGTTAGTGACCGCTGAGACAGGTGGCGCTGTGATTACAGCGCCACGGTCTCGGTGATGACACAGAGCAGAGGAAGACTGTCCGTTCTTCGTCTGCTCTATGGTGATCTCCATCGCCGCCGCTGCTCGGCTTTAATACGAGTGAGCTCATTAGATCACTCGTATTAAACGAGCTGCGGCTCCTACTACTTGCCCGGCGCCCGAAACTGCACGTCTCGGGCGTCGGGATTCGCTCCATAAGACGCAGGCACATTTTCCCCCCTCCTTTTGGGGGGAAAAAAGTGCGTCTTATGGAGCGAAAAATACGGTAGATAGCAACCCAGATTCATGTAGTAACCTGGAGGCCCCCACCGTGGTTATAGCCTGTTGGTCGACTAGCTCTTCAGGTTTCACGCCCGTGGAGACCCTGTGGGGGTCCCAATGGGGACTACGCTTTCTATAGGGGCGTCGGGAAGAGAGGGGTCAGCCCACACGTCTCCCCTATAAGGCCTGTAACATCAAGCCTCCATGTGGCACAGGTGAACTAAAGGGCTGCCTTAGACTCCTCGCCCGGTGGGCTGTGGAATATCAATGTACCGTCGGCTGGGTTGTAGAAGGAGAGGAAGAAAGAAAAGCGAGAGGGAGCAGATGAGGAAAGGGAAAAAGAAAAGGATTAAGGGGGGGGTGACCCATCAGGAAGGTATAGCATGGAGTAGGAAGGGGAGGGGGGGTGACCCATCAGGAAGGTATAGCATGGAGTAGGAAGGGGAGGGGGGGG